AGTACCTCTTTTTCCTCTGCCTAACCACTACTTCAACACATCAATTTGGATTCCTTGTCTCACTAGAGGTCCACCAGAAAGCAGATGTCAGTACCTGCATCAAACATTTCCAGATGCAGATTCAGAATTCAGAGAGCAGGGACTCAAGTCAGACATTCAATGAAAGCCCAGCATCTAATTCAGAACCAGACCAGATTCTTATTCTTGTGATCATTTTGAATAAACCATGAGCACCGTTATGGATGGGAAGGCCTCAGTTGTGTTGTTAGAATATACCATTGTTTTGGTTTTTTTTCAAATGGGGCCTGGCTAGCTGCCTGCCTTATTGGAGCCTTCAAGGGAGAAGGAAATACCTGAAATCTAGTAACTCTTTATTTCTCCTGACTAGCAAGAACATGCTTCTTGAGTGACTTCCACCAAAATTCTGCTTATTGAGATTTTATCAATGCACAATTAGCCCATGTGAAATTTGCCAACATCTTTATCCGAAGAACTTCCAGGTGTTTACACACCTGATTGCTACTTCCAAGTTACTCCATACATGAATAAGCTTTGAGGGGCAGTATCAGGTACAAAAAGAAAGTAATTAAGTATGGAACAGTTACAGCTACAATACTACAATTTTAAATTTAGTACAGCCTTATACATTCTCATAGCTAGCTGGGAACAGGAAAACTCAAAATATTTCTACAGACAGTTTAATTTTGTAATTAGTTTGGGAAAAATACTTTGTTTGAACATCTGTATCAAAATATCCCTTTAATTTGGCTTTAAAAATATCTGTGCAAGCTTGACAGGGATATATATTAAAGTAAGTTTTCTTTCTCGTCCTGAAACTATCATTCCTCTTTTTATTCTCCCACAAATACAATTTTTGGTTTGTATAAAGTTTTCATTAAACAGTATAATTTTGCATCTTAAGGTACCCTAAAGTACTCAAAAATCTGAAGACTCAATATGCCACATTTTTCTATGGTTTTCAGTTTACTTTCATAGGACAAGGGAAGGAGTAGAGATGACATTTTGAACTCCAAACTCTACCATCTCAGTGATTTCCAAGCAAAGTAAATATTGATCCTTTTATCCCTTGTCAAAATCCACTAGCATGGATTTCTGCACTTGCATGAAGTTTCACAGAAAGTAACAAGGCCCTAAACAAAAATGCATGGGTCTACATTAGCAAATCCCAGAGCAGGAACTTTACCTTTGGATGTAACATTCAACTTCCCTAGCCAAAACACAGCCCCACTGAATGCTGAATACCTTTTGTTGGTTTTGCCAGCACCTGCCACATGACAAAAGCTTGAAAACTACTAACAAAAACTTCCTGAATTCCACAAATCACACTCAAGCAACTAAAATCACCCTACTATTAAAAAAAAAAACAACAAAAAACAAGCAAACGACAAATTAGAATATTGGCCAGAGAAATGTATTCTTTTTACGGACCACTCAAGAAGCAGCTATCTGCTCTTTTTCAGGCAGTCTACCACTGGTGAAAATCTCAAGAGTAACTGATGAAATTAACATTTTACAACACCAGCATCAGAAAGGACCACAGGAGAAAGATAAAAACAACATCACAATTAAAGACATGTTATCTTCAGCATCAGTAACTAACTGATGCTATCTGCTCTGGAAAGTATCCAGACTGCAAAATCATATTTAAAAGTTACATGTAAGTCCCTAGTAGAAGAAAGAGACAATAGTGCTCTATTTCTGGAGATACATCCTCCTCCTCTTGCACTTTACTTAGCCTTAAGGCAACAAGCATAGCCCAGTTCTGAAACCAAAGTGAGTTCTTTTCCCTGTCCTGCTTTCTACTATGCACTCCTGGATCCCTTTTTAGGGGGCAACAGAGTTGTTCAGTTCTTAAGTCTGATTCACAACACATTAGCTGATGCACCAAGCAGTGGTCAATCCTATATTTAGGCAGAAAGAGTTAAGCTAATAAAAATAATTAATTTTAGTTACGACCATTCCTCCAGTTCAGTTCATTATACAACAAAAACACTAGTGTGGCCCCATGAGGTAAGATGTCAGTGTCTGAGGCTTGGACTGTTTCTTTCAGTAATAGTGCTGCCATTTAAATATGGTGATTCTATCACAGACTATTACTTCTGGCAAATAAGTCTTACTCTACTTCCTTGTCAGGGAGCTGTAATTCAAATAATGCCTGTATCTTCTATCTATGATGAAGATGGGGTCAACACTGGAAGGTGAAAAAAAAATACTTAGAGTCATTCCCTTCATTCTCCTCTTCATGCCTTATTAGAGCACTTATTAGTACCCTTATGATCTCTCCGATGAGGAAGTAGCTAGCTTTCAGACACAACTTCTCATCCCCCTTTGGTGGATTCCAAAATACATTAACCAATTTCTACAAGCTAAGAGAAAACTAGGTTGCCAAAGTATGACAGAGAAGCAGCAAAAGCTTTAACTCTAGTTGTCAGTGAAGCAGGAAAATCAATTGTAAGAACCAAATGTAGAGCCACTGGTAGGAACCCTTTATTGATACACGTTGGATTTTTTACAGCAGCCTCCTATCAATTATAACTAAAATGTTGAAAATAGGAACAAACTGAATGAAACAGCACCAAGATCCAATAGCTGTTGGGCTTTGTGCTTCACAGTATGCTGAGGTACTCAGTGCTACAGAGTTTCATTACTGGCAGAATATAAGTAAAAAGGTAGTAACTTTGGCAAATAAGGGTTGATACTTGGGCCCACATAGGAAATATATTTGCATCAACAGCATAAGCACATTTACCACACATTTCTTGTGAGAAATTCTTCATTAGCATGAAGAATTATCTTTCGATTCAAGAAACTGAAGCAAATGGGCTTGTGTTGTCTTTTTAACACACTGATAAAATGTGCACAGCACATAAAACATCTTTAGCTACTGTTTTATCTCTCGAAGTAATGACTTAATACAGGGTTAATTTCTTGAGTACAAATCTATACCAAGAAGTTGATTTAGCAGCAATTAATTTAGAGATTGCATAGAGGCAAAACCATGCAGTGTAGTATAGCCAGCACACAAAAACAAATACTAAAGATGCAAGGCCACACATGACTGGAAGTTTTATTATTACTTCCTATGCAATGCTCCTCCACCAAAACTCAAGCAGAGGCCACAGACTGGGCTATAAAAGTGGTTTGTTGTTTTTATTTTGGCCTTACACCTTTACTTACAAAACTTTTCAACTGCAAGCAGTTAAGTGTGAGCCAGTAATACAACATCCTTATGACTTCTACTTGCCCTGAAACTTGAAGAATCACAGAAGCATAAAATCATAGAATGGTTGGGGTTGGAAGGCACCTCAAAGATCATCTGGCTCCAACCCCTCTGCCACAGGCAGGGACACCTTCAACTAGACCATGTTCCTCCATTCCACCTGCTCTTGAACACCTCCAGGGATGGGTCAATGTCTCAGGGCAACCTGTTCCAGTGCCTCACCACCCTCACAGTGAAGAATTCTTTCCTAACATCTAATCTAAACCTACTCTTCTTCAGTTTAAGGCTATGCTCCCTTGTTCTACCACTACATGCGTTTGTAAAAAGTCTCTCTCCAGCCTTCTTGAAAGCCCCCATAAAGTATAAGGTTGCTGGAAAGAAGCAGAGCTAACTTCCACTAAGGAAAAATGGCAAGTCAGTCATAACCAAAAATATTACCAGAAATCAACCCCCAATTTCTAATTTACTGTACCTCTCTCATTTTTTATCAAAATGCATCAAACTTTAAAATATGTGTTTCTCCGGAACAGCTCTCAGCAAAGCTACTGGAGAACTTCACTGTAAGATCTAATAAAATGTTCCATGCCTTGTATTTTATAGAACAATCAATCAATTAAACTTGTCAGAACAGAAAAAAAGCTATTCAAATCACAACACTTTTGTCTGGATCAAGAGCACAAGCAATTCTGGTTAGGCCTCAGATGATCCTGATCAAGATCTTTCATTTTTTACTACTGTCCCCTGTCACCTGGGGAACAGCTCAGACTTGAGGCAACACCTTGTAGCTGTGGTGGCAGCATCCAGCACCAGGCTGGCCCACCACAGCCGTGTGTTAGAATGGCTTCTCATGAAGAGTCCTCTACAAAATCAACCAGGCATCACAGCCAGAGCAAACAAAGTCGTCCCATTAATCTGACTGTTAACAGGCAGTAATAAAAAGACAGCAAAAGCAGAATATGACAACACAAAGTACTTGTGTAACCTACCACCAGTTACAGATTAGCAGTTTCAGAACTTTATGAGGGAATACAGAGAACCATGCTCATCTGTTTAAAAAGCTGAAAATTGATTAATGAACTTGTGATATTTACATTCTTCACTCTGTAAAGAAAAATAATTTTAAAAAATCCAATGCAACAATGTAAGAAGACACCTTTCCATAGAAGTTGCCCGTCTGTTGCAACTGAGATTACTTCAAACACTGTTTTTTCTCAACAAACCTGGCTTCCTTTTCTGAGGGATGCTTGGCAGCTGTAAAAAATATTTTTCTTTTTTGCTTTTCATGTCTATAATTTTATTTCCATTTTATAACATCACATCACTCGCTCAAATACATCACACTGTTCTAAATCCACAGTTATTACTAAACCACTGTAAAGTCTCCCCTCTCGCATTACTTAATCCATCCAGAAGTTCTGAAAAAACGTAAGTGGGTTTTAAAAGTTGTTTAGAATAAACTGTACCTTTATCATCTGTCCTTCATGACTGTATTTGTATCCTATCTATTTGTACTTTTCAATGAGAAAAAACCCAGATATTTACAAACTATAAACTTTCATTGACTACAGATCTTTGCTACAGCAAAATACATCATTTCCTGAGCATACTCCATTACAGTATTAGTAGGAGCAAAACCACCTAATCAGAGACGGTAACAACATAATTGCTCGTTTCTTGTTATTGAGCCTGGCTAGGCTGTGAGTCTCGGTTCCTCCTCCGACAACTGCCTGGACCCACGCGAGGTACAAGCGGCACTCACCTCCTCCGCCTTTCCCGGTCACAGAGCTGGCTCGGCAGCGTTTTCGGCGCAGCACTCTGCCATCCTCCTACAGCCCTGGCGCCCTGCAACACACCACCACCACCACCGTGATACCGCTTCTCCAGCCCGGCGATCGCCCCCCACAAACAGAGCCCGCAGCCACACGCAGAAATTCACTCCAGACCGATGAAAATAACTCTTTCGGGGGAGGAGTAACAGCGCTGCTCCGAGGGAAACGAAAAGCAGGAAGCTGATCTCAGCGGCGCGGGGAGCGCGGACGGGGCGGAGCAGAGGCACGGAGCGAGGAAAAGTGGAGCAAAGACTCGCTGCTTATAGCTTGGCTTTGGCAGTATGACCAACCAGCACCGCATTACTGAAATACCAGCGCCGGGGCCGACACGGACGCCA